CCAAAAGATTTTGCTGTTATGGCTCCAAAAGAAAGGGTTTCAGGAGTAGTCTGTTACTTCCAAAAGTATAAAAAGTTTGCCAAATAGAGATTTTAGTGCATTTGCTGGTTATTTCAGGCATTTGATTCTAATGCAGCAATGCACTAATAAACAGAAGAGAAGAATAAATTAAAAGTTTAAACAGCAGCGCAATGGTGGATTTCATAGTCCGAAGTTAAGCTGAATGTTCTGTAAGTGTGCGTTATAGAATATTGAACTATCAACAGGCTGGTCAGATTATTTACTATACTGGATGAAGTAATATTTAAGTTCTGGTCAAAACTAAACTGAAAAGATCACTAGCGGTATTTAAGTTCTGGACAAAACAAAACTGAAAAGATTACTAGGGAAAGAAAACATCAGTTTAAACTATAGTCAAACCATTTAGTCATAAGCAAAACTATAATCGTAGAGTTTGTTTGCTCCAATTCTGGTTGATGTTGCAGTCTTGACAATAGTGTTATATTAGTACTATTTCAAATTATTGCTGGGTCATTGAAAGTCAAGTTCATAGAAAGAACAATAGAAAAATAGGTACAATTGGATCCATAGAAGCACCTGGGAAACAAGATTACGGAGGTGTCGAACGGTGCGGGAAAATCCATCCATGTAATACAGTGCTCCAGAGAGTCCAACTCGGATATCAACCCTGTTGAGCTCCGGCTCAGTCAAATTCAAGATCTGCAACAACACAAACTAGTCAAAAAACATGGTAATAATAAACAAGCAATAACAGATCTTAGAGCAAGCAATATATGCAGTTATTTTAACTTCAAACCAATCCAGTAATCTACCAAGATGGATAAGTGTTCTAACATGTCCCCACAAATTAGAATATATTGGCAGACTTCCAGTAGTATGTCTGCTTGCATAAGCATAAGAACGCCACTCCATAACTTGGATAATAAAAAAACAGTTGTACGGTTGGCAGAAAACCACAACAAATTTACAACAAAAAAAAACTATTGCCATGCTGGGGTCAAATATTAGTGTATTTTAAGTTCAGAAATTATCATGACAGAACCAGCATTTAACAGTGACCATGACAGAAACATTAATTCAATAAAAAGTATGAAATCAAATAGAGAAAAGAAGTCCATCAGGCCTTACCTTTAGATGCAGTGTGATTCTGCCATCAGTTGGATCTGCCAAATGATACGCTTCAATATAGCATGGATCACTGCTGCCGGTCAAAGTATACGCTTTTGGGAGCTCTTTATGCAAAGTACCAATCCCTTTTGTCTGTAGCAGACTCAACTGTGTGGGACTTGGCCTCCAGAGCTCCAGAATAGCTTTATGTACTAACCCCTCCAATTTCCTGTCTTGAGCAGCAGACGCCTCTGAAAACTGGACGGTGAGTTTGTGGTGGCTAAATGGATAATCCCCTGTGGCATCACCTACGCCCACCCACCTGAATGACATATCAGAAAAGTAGACAATTATTATATTTATTTCATAATGCATGTTCTAGTAGACAACTTTCTTTCAGGTATAATATTTTCGTTCTTTATCTATGTGAACACTTCAACCTCCGCGGAGAATTTGTTACTCAAGTTCCAAAATACACTCACCTGTTATCTGGATGGCTTGTCACATATTTTATTATCTGCAAGACATAACGTGACTGATGTTTGGTGACAAAATCAGCTGAAGTACTTGCTCTATATTCTTCCAATTCTTTACTGAGGAGCTGGCCAGCTCTTGCATTTCTTGTTCCCAAACGTTGGGCACATATGAGGACAGACTGCATATCTTGTATCCTATTCGATGTAGTGGTAGAGGATTCGGTGTTGAATAAAATCTTGTGCATGTTAGATATGATAATATTCAGTGGATCCTCTGGGTCATCAGCTAAGAGAGGATCCAGACCTTCAAGATCGAAGTGTTCAGAAATCGCCCATATCAACCGTGATGATATTCTTGGGGTATGGACCTGAAAAGAAATTAAGATTTAACAATTTGGCAGAGTAACCTGTACTTTAAAAGCGTCAAAAAGTAAATAGAGAAACTACATCGCTATTGTTCTTTTATTAACCAGTTCCAACTTGGAGGGCATCTTTTAAATGGCTGTGTAAAATAACATAGAGCAAGAGCACATATACACTGTTAAAGCATTGACAAGCAGATGCTTTTCTGATTTTCTAAATAAGATACAAGACTTATAGAAGAGGTTGATTTTAATGCATAAGTTTTTACAGGAGTTAGATACACGAGACATGTTAAAGTAACACCTAATAAATGTTCGCATGGAAAATAATATAGAATAGAAATTGTGACATACTAGTATTTATTTGATTGATGAATGGAGCATAGAATAGTACAGAACAATGTAGAATTGCACCAAAATAAAATACGCTATTATGTTCGTGCTTTAAATATTTAAGATAAAAAACAACGACCACAACCTCACGAAGATCCCTGATAAGCTGCAGCTGTAAATTTCTAAGTCTTGTCTCATTTAGAATCTGATCTTGGGATGCACCAGCCTTAATTGTCTTTACACCACCCCTAGTATCATATATATGACAAAGCCGAACAAGTAACTTCAGATAGCAATCAATTGCATAGGTGCGCCCATTACAATCCCAGAGAACACAAGGCCTGCAAACTTCTACCACATCCAAAGCAGGTTCTGTCCAATTCAATGCACCATAACCAGTTCCATAGGCTAATGCTCCTATAACTCTGCTCTCTGTGCCAGAATTATTCTGCTCAGGTAGTGGAAGCGATAGCTGGAAACAACTTTCAACCAGGGAAGCAACCAGCTCTTCCCTGAACAAGCTTTTGCTTGTAATGCTGTTTAGGTCGTCCTTCGCCCTTACATCCTCAAAAAGAGAGATCACATCTGTTCCTGGAACAGGCTTCTGACCTCTTCGAACACTCTCCTTTGCAAAAAGATCAACACAAAGAGCAGTCCGACAAATACATGCCAATGCATGCATACGATCTGATTCGGCTCTCAAGTTTCTCACCATCTGAAGAAGTCTTTTGAACAGAGACACCTGTGTCATAAAACATGCTTTTGTAAATTGATCTTGGAATAAATTAACATTATGACACTCACATATTCTTCAGAAGGCATGCACAGAAGGGAAGAAACTGATAGAACTAATTAATAGCCATATTTGAAAAGTTTATGTTTTCAAGCATGGATCAGACAATAGCAAGGGATCAACTTGAATTTCAACATTAGAGAATTCCAGCTTAGACCATTAGTAACTACTACCAGTCAATGATAGTAGAACTAAGGGCCTGTTTGACACAGCTACAGCTCCAACTCCACCCCTCCTGGAGCTGGAGCTCAGCCAAACAGTTTCAGCTCCACCAAAACTGGGAGTGGAGTTGGGTGGAGCTCTCTCACAAAATGTACTAGAGTTGTGGAGCTGGGTTTAAGCAGCTCCACAACTCCACTCCAGACTCAACTCCTGGAGTTATATTTAGGAGTTGAGCTGTACCAAACAGGCCCTAAGAACCAGGGTACCGACTCCAAGGATCCTTAATCATAAAGTTGGTTTTGGGCTAAAAGAACAATTAGTGAATATATGATAGAAAATAGCTAAACATAATCATCAAATTCGCTAGGCTAAAGTAAGATGATGTAAGGTCAGCACCTGCATTCCGAGATCCAACAAATGGAGATTGGTCACAACAGCCCTAACAATCGTCTCCCTCATCGATGAGAACTCTTGCCGGTCCCATAGTGTAAGAATTGCAGTAGTGGCAGCCGAAGCCCACTCCGGCTTACCTCCAGGTACATCTGCAAGTGCCAGCATATTGATCCCCACCTCGAACACCAGCGGCGGATCCAGAGAGCTAAGGAAAGGCAGCAAGTGTGAGACGATGTCTGACACCCCAACCAACTTCTCTGCGCTCGATTCCACGCTATCGGCAATAGTAGTGTCCCCTGGCTTGGCAATCCGCCGCAGCGTGTTCACCGCGCCAGAAGCGACCATTTTCGCTGCGTGCACAAGAGGGTACACGGTGACCCGGAATCTCTCTACGGGCATCACCATGGACCGGGCAATGAGCATGTTGCGCCTTGACCAGATGAAATTGATGGCATCCGCCGCCCACTGAGCACGCACGGCGAGCGCGCCCTCGCCGTCGACAAGCTTGTCCCCGGCAAGCCGGCTCATGCGGCGCGCGTCCAGCTCCTGGAAGAGCCTAGCCAGCGCCTCAAACGCCGCGGCGGCCACGGCGTCGGCGGAGTCCAGCGCGAGCTCCGCCAGGCGTCCCCACCACGTGGTGGCGTGCGCCATGAGCGACGGGTTGGAGGAGCACATGAGCGCGAGGTCGTCCCGCGGGAGGAGCGAGGAGAGCGAGGTCACCGCCGCGAGGCGGAGCGACTCGGCGGGGGAGGAGAGCGCGGCGGCGATGTCGGCGTGGGCCGAGGAGAGGAGCGACGGGAGGAGGTGGGAAGGGAGCGAGGGGAACGAGGCGATGGACGAGGCGGCGACGTCCGGGTCCGGGAAGGAGAGGTCGGAGGCGAGGGAGGAGAGCAGCAGCGGGTCGAGGAGGTCGGGGGGCAGCGGGAGAGCGCGGAGGAGGTCGAGCGCGAGGCGCTTGCATACCGCCGACGACGGCGCCGCCAGGATCTCGGTCGCCACGGTGCGCGCCACCGCGGACACGTCCCGCCCCGCCGCGCACTGCTGCAGCGCCTGCAGCAGCGCCGACGACTGCCGCAGCGCGTCCGACGACCTCAGGTCGGCCGTGATCTGCGCCACGAGGAGGTCCATCTCGCCGCCGGCGATCGCCGGAGATGGGGGAGATGGGAGGTGGGTGGTACCGTGGTGGTGGTCGCAGATCTGGAGAGGAGAGGAGAACGCGAGCACGAGAAGGTAACGAAGAGTCAGTGCTACTACTGACAAGTGGGGTCCAATGCCAGCGAGGTCGATGGAGCTCGATCTGGACCGTCGGTGCAAACACGATCGGACGGTGGAGGACGATCCAAAGGCAGATTCCGCTTGCTTCTCGGCGTGCGCGATAATAACAACTCTCGCGCCCTCGCCTCGCCTCGCCGCCTTTTCTTCGCCATCTTTTTCGATTTCATCAGCGACGGCTGCGGCGGTGGTTGGTCTCGTCGAATCCTCTCCACCGGAGCATCACCTCGATCGGCTCGAAGGTGAAGGTAATCCCTCTCGTTGCCCCCCTCCTCCTTCGCTGCTCTATCGATCAATCCGATAGCGTGGTGATTGGTGAATCGATTGGGGTTAGATTGATCTGAGATTTTTCGCTCTGCCCTTGCTTTCGGTGTACAATGCGGTGTGATTCCGGGTCCTTTTTTTTTTGGCTCCGAACCATCCAGTTTGCTGCGGATTAATTTTGAGTTGCAATAGTTGCAGTTTGTTTGCAAACGACCTAGGAGATTGTTTTTAATTATTTTGATGCCTACGGTGAAGTTGGGATTGTTGTTTTTGGCCCTATGTTGCGTCGCGATGCACCATCCATGGAACCTCCATTCGTTATGAATTCGTGGTGGATGGGGGTTCTAGTTGATGATTCTAATGCAATGAGGAATCAAGGATTATCTGGATTATCTGCATTTTAATCCTCCTCATGATCCTGCTTTGGCTAATTGCGCTTATTTGTATTATATTAATCAAGGGGCAATCCTAGGCTTAGTAATTCAAGTGCAAACAATCCAATGCGCCATTGTTTTTCATAGTTGGATTTGTTCTGTTGGTGGCATGCATTGCAGATGACGGTGGCATATCTGAAGGAGATGCCGTCCACACCATCAATACCAAGCTGTACGAGTGGGATGCGATCCGTAGCCGCTCGGTTGCTCGGTGCTGGGACTGGAACCCGTCCACTCAGCTTTGTGGGGAGCAATGGTGTCGGTGGCCGGTCTGCCTCGGGGAGCTGCCATGCCGGTCAATCGCGAGCTTTGGTGAACTATGATGATGACAGGGGCACCTACATCATCTTCAACATTGCCGACTCACTGTTCATCAGAGATCTCAACTATGTATGTTCTCGGTATCCCCTTGCTTCCTTATACAAGTATTATATTCCGAGGTTTAGTTTGTCTGATCGAATTGTTAATCCAATCAGCGTCGTCCGGTAAAGCGCATTTGCTTCAGTGATATGAAACCACTTTGTCATGCATTTGACTCGGAGGCCAAGGATGGACATGACCTTATCGTTGGGTTCTTGTCAGGAGAAGGTCTGTTGGGTGTTCTCGGATTTGGAGTTCTTTGCTCTTGGTATTGAATCATGTCTATCAATAAGGGTTTTTTTTATATATTTTTTGTTCATTTGTGTAGTCTATTCAATGTCATTGAGGCAGCAGTTGAAGGAACCTGGTCCTGAGCCCATTGCACTTCAACACTTCTTCAACACCAACAGGCATGTGTTTGAAGTGCTTGCAAAACTTAACCATAAAAACGGATAAATGATAATTGTGTGGCTTCTATGGTTGTGTATCTTTGTATTTTGTTATTAAACTGCGGTTCTGTTTGATTTTGGATAAGCTTGTATTGCAGCCGGTGTACTGGTGTTGCATGGGTACCTGGGCATGAAGGATTTTTTGTTGTCAGCAATGCTGATGGAAATTTGTTTGTGTATGACAAAGTAAGCCCAAGCCCAAAACTTATTCTAGAATGTTATTGCTAAGTATCATACTTAATTAAGTAGAGTTTGAACTGATTAATTTTCTTTTACATGACCAGTCCAAGGATGTAAATACTGATTGGACATTTCCAACTGTAGAGGATCAAAGTGAGATGAAGATTTCATATGCAAAGTCTAGTAAGGTATCTTAAGTATCTTTATATATTTCTACTAAAAATATGCATTTACATGTCACTGACACTCTATATATTTTACTGAAAATTCATTTTGTTGAATTATCAATGTCAAATGAGATGGTTCAATATGAGGTGACAAGTGAAATACATGCTAGGACATCCTCTGTTCAGAAGGGAAAAAAATGTTTCAGATGAACTCCACTGCTGAATTTGATGCAATGTTACCCTATAGACATAACATGTGTTGATTTAATAATTTGCGGGCTATGCTAGTCATAAATTTAGGCTTATAGGATAGTTGTATACAATTTTCGAGTAATGCTCTGATCCTAACATATCAATTATTTGTCACTCCAAATATTTGCACTTTGAGACATGGGTCCCAAGACCAGATTTTCTTTTTCTTTTTTATTTTTGAAACGATGTCCCAATGCCAGATTTCAGTGAAACAGTGTGATGGAATGAAACAAGTGCATCTTTTTTGTGTGATTGGTGTGTGTTGGAGGCAAATCCTCAGTATACCAAAGGCCATGTTAGAACCAACATCTATCAACCTGAAAATTAGCTATTGTTGGGATTCAAGGAACACTTTTGAGATGTTCTTGAAGATGAAGCTTTGAAACAATTGCTGTTATGATTGATTTTGTGATTTGCAATTGCACTCCAGAGCAATCCAGTTGCAAGATGGCACATCTGTCAAGGTGCAATCAATGCCATTTCCTTTTCGCCAGATGGAACTTACTTGGCAACCATTGGACGAGACGGTAATTTCTGTCCAAAAACCCAATATTCAAGATTTTTGCAAATGAAAGGTTCCCCGCGTTCATAGCAACATTGTACTAACGTTGTTCAATCATATCCAGGTTATTTACGAGTGTTTGACTTTGCAAAGGAGCAACTAATATTTGGTGGGAAAAGTTATTTTGGGGCTCTATTGTGTTGCTCTTGGAGGTAATGCCAACGCATCTATTGTTGCACTGGCATAAGACACTTATTTTGTCTCACCTATATATTTTGAATCCAGAAATCAAATATTTCGTCGAAATTTTAAGTATGTCGTTAATGAAAACATGATATAATAGTTTATATATCTATTTTTACACACTTTCATCAGTTCCTTTTGTAACCCTGTTGGTAATCTGTCGATCACATAAACCATATTTGCTTTGGGTCAATAATTATTCATAGTGTTTCACCTGTTATATTTTGCATGCTGTCATGGCTCACTGTAGAATGTAGAGTTTTCAAAACCCTCTAGCCATCATCTGAGTTTTTCTTTTTTGGTGAATGGGCTAGTTTAGGCATGCTATCATCATACCTTTAATACTTATCTCTATAGAACCTGGAAGGTGATATTTGATTATGCTCTCCATATTTCAGCACGGATGGTAAATATCTATTATCAGGCGGTGAAGATGATCTTGTGCAAGTGTGGAGCATGCATGACAGAAAGATGGTTGCATGGGGAGAGGGGCATAAGTCATGGGTAATATTATCATTACATTTGCCCCTTTTCTCTTAGTAGCATGTTGATGCTTCCCATTAAACCTAAACTTTGAGGCTAAATTATCTTTGTTGGTCAGGTTAGCGCAGTTGCATTTGATTCGTACTGGTCCCCACCAAAACCGTATGAAAGAAAACAAAATAGCATGCATCGCTTCGCTTCACCAAAATCGGATGAAGCAGAAGAAGATCCCATATATTCCTTCGCTTCACCAAAATCAGATGAAACAAAAGAAAATACCAATATCATGTATCGCTTCGCTTCTATTGGTCAGGTACCGAGAATTTTATATAAAACAAAAAGGTTTATAAATTCACAGTCGTAAATTGACAATTGAAATTACTATGGTTTGTTTTAACAATTAGTTGATCATTAATAAAGATGTTTATTTTTCTAAACTTGTGATTGCCATAACAATTCAAAATTATAACAATATCTGTTGTTCCATTGGTTGCTTGTTGGTTTCTTTAGGAGACTTTGCATTTATTAACACTGGCCATGTTTTAACGATTCATGCTTTTCTCACTTGACTAAATTATTCATGAGCCAACATGATGCATGATGCTTCACTAACTTCAATTCTCAGTAGCAAGTTTGCTACACCTGTCACTAAAAACATGCTGCTCAATGCTCTTTCTGTTCCTTTCTCCCCTTTGATTGAACATATTGTTTTTCGCTACTTTTTCCCCCCGCAAGACTAATACCAACACTAACACTCTGCCTTCTTTTTTTTTTTGCATGCAACTAGGATGCCCAGCTGCTTCTCTGGGATCTAACTAAGGATGAGCTTAATGTGTCACTAACCCATGCTTCCAGCTGCTCAGAATCATCTAGCAGTGGAAGCTGCTCAGCGTCATCTAGCAGTGGAAGCTCTTCTACAGAAGACAGGGACAAAGAATTCCCCCTTGGCTTCCTTCACCCTTCTCCACGGCTGCAAGAAGTACCAAAGCTCTCACCTGAGGTTGCTCATCTGGTCGGCGTGGAACCCCTCTTCACACTGGAATTCACCAGCGAATCGGTTATCACCGTATGTCGCAGGGGGCGAATCACCACCAGGCCAAGAGAAGAAATCGACAATGAAACTGAAACCGACCAGCAGCATCCTGGTTCTTCCAAGCTGGTCATAGGCAATGGCACGGGAAACTATTCTAATCCTTCGAGGGGATGTTCCCTCGTTTGCTCAAAAACCATCTAAATGGTTATGAAAAATTTGACAACATTCATACAACACATATATACAACTTCACAAAATCTTAAGTCCAAACTCAACTCACACGTCGAGATATAAAAAAAGACAAATTCAGCGTATGAATAGTAGCGTACTGTTTATATCTAAATTTGTCTTTTTTGTTTCTCGATGTGTAGATCGAATTTGAACATGAATTTTGGTGGACTAGTAGGTATCATTATACTCTACATTGTCAATTTTTTTCAGATTTTTTCACAACTATTTGCATCGAATTTAGAAGAAAAAGGTATACGAGGGGATATCCCCTTGAGGGATTAGAATCCACTCCGGCAATGGCACCTCTCCGAATAAGAATACGGTAGCATCAACATCAAATGAAGCAGGTTTTTTCAGCTCTAGCAGCTTCAAGCAACCACTAGCTATGAAATTCATGTGATTGATGGAGTAGATTTCATGGAAGCAGGACTCGCTTGTCAAGCTCCCAGTGATGGATGAATGAATGCTTTGTTTGTACCTCCATAGATAGATAGACAGTGGTAAAATTAAGAAAACAAAAGAAAATTGCTCGTGTACAGAGTCATATATTGTGTAGCTAGGTGAGTAGTAGTACAAGTTGACTAGCTGTCCCATGTTATTAGGATGGTCGTTAGTAACATTTCAGTAGGTTTACGCATTCCTTTTCTTAAATCATGTGCTGTGGATTCCATTGAGTTGTAAATTTGACTTTAGAAGGCATCATTAGGTGAGTTCAAGGCGTGTTCTGTCAGGGAGATTTGGGTTGGCAACGAGGAGGCACTGGTTGCATTATTGCCCGTTAGGTGTGAAATGTACTAGTAGAATTTTGGTGGTACGTTTTGTGTGCGCTTAATCAGTTACAAATTCTGAGTTCAACTGGATGTTGAGGGCTGTTCAGATTATAACTAAAATAAACTTTACTAAATTTTGACAATACCAAAATATGTCATATTGCCAAAATTTTGGCAGGATTTCTTATGTATTTAGTACAGTTTGGCAAAAAATTAAATAGATGCACATGTTTGTTAACTCTACCAAAAAATGATATGGTTTGAAATGGCATCAATCTAATTAAGCCCTAAAGTTAAACTTACCGTTGCTTTAGTGTTAGTTGTTGTAGTGGACAAGTGGTTTCCATCCTAATTTTGAAGGAAGTACACTAGATTATTTTCATAATATTAGGTATATACACGAGATTATAAGAAAACCCAAAAAGCAAAATAAAATTATTTTCACTCTCTAATCATCATATCATATATCATATTTGAGTATTTGACACAATCTTTCATATGTACATAGAATTACACGTTTGCTCGTACTGATGAGCAATTGTTATAAACTACTACTATTCACATTGAATTTGATTCATGAAGTGGATGCTGGCATCATGAACCCACATGAAACCAAGAGTATCTGGTTTGGTTGCCGCAACTTGTCACACCCAAGGTTCTGCGACCAGCATTTATGCCATGGGTGTTGTAGTGAAAACTACTCTCATGTACATGTAGCTATATTCAATAATTTTTATTTGAAAATAACAAGAAAGACAAACATGTATATTGGATACTACAATGATATCTTAAACAATTATTACTATTATTTTCATATTTTGGCTTGGCTTAGTTTAGCACTAACGGTGCCAATCTAGGGTGTGTTTAGTTCACACCAAAATTAGAAGTTTGGTTGAAATTGAAACAATGTGATGGAAAAGTTAGAAGTTTGTGTGTAGGAAAGTTTTGATGTGATGGAAAAGTTAGAAGTTTGAAAAAAAAGTTTGGAACTAAACTCGGCCCTAGGCAAGAAATTTTGGTACCAAGCAAACAAGCTAAGGCTTAAAAATTATGGCACAATTAGGTTTAAAAATTCGTCTCACAATTTATACGCAATCTGTGTAATTAGTTATTTTTTATATTTAATACTTCATACATGTGTCTATACATTCGATGTGATAGGTATAAAATTTTACCAGGAGATCTAAACAAGCCCTAACTTAAATTGACAAATTTAACTCCAAATTCGTTTTGTACCAATCCAAACAAACCTCTCTACCAAAAAAAAAACACTGATGATGACCAAATTTTACAAAGTTAATGGGCCAAACATGCCGCCAAATTAAATTCGCCTAAAATACCAATCAAAACTCTAGACACAGACACGGAAAAGGTCTTCTCCCCTTACTATAAACGACCACCACACCCCGCAAGCTGCACTCATATCCGAACGACGCCGGAAATAGCAAAAAAAAAAAGAAAAGAAAAAGAAAAAGAAAACTCGCCGCCGCCGCCGCGGCCGCGCCCCCACCTCGATCTCCCGCGTCGCCACCCCGAACGCCGCGCCGCCGATGCTGCCGCCCCGCCTCCGCCGCCCTGCCGCCGGCGACCTCTGCTGACGAGCATGGCCGCCGCGGCCCCCGCCGGCGCCCAGAACCGCTGCGTCTTCGGTACGGGCCCCCTACCCCCCGCTTCCCTCTCGCCGTCTTCGGCATGGTTCGATCCTGAGCTGAGCTCCGGGGAGGGAGCTCACGGTGTGCGTGGGGTGCGGAGTAGAGAGAGAGCAAAGGCGGCTCGGCTCCTTCCCGTCGATTTGGGCCTCGGCTGATTTCTAGCCTAGCCGCCTCGCTCTCCTCGATCCGTAGTGGGATTGTTCGTTCTTCGTTTGGGTGTGGGTCGATGAGAGTGAGGAGGAAAATGAAGCGCGTTTTGCTCGGTTGCGGTGCTAGATTTGGGGAGGGTTTAGTGTTTGACCAATTTGGTTTGGTCTAGGGTTTACTGCTCGTGCCCTTTCGATTGACGGATGCGTTTGTTGGTTGTTGAATTTTGGTTGCAGTCGGGAACATTCCTTACGATGCGACGGAGGAGCAGCTCGTGCAGATTTGCGAGGAAGTCGGCCCTGTGGTCTCATTCAGGTTTAATTGTACTGCACAAACCCTCAAAATTGTGTGTGTGTGGAATTGGTGTTTAGGATGGTTAGAGTTAAGCTAAATAGGTTCTGCAAATATTTGGATTTGATTCAGACAGACGTGTGTTGGATACTAAAGTTTTGCTAGTGTCTGTTTTTAAAAATAACTTCATGCCTTTTATTCTCCTTACATAATAAGGAGTTCAGGGGTCAGTGGTATCTGGTATGGACATAATGCTTGGCACACTTTTTTTTCTATGAAATAACATTATACCGTGCACATTTAAAAATAATCGCTAATTGAAGTTTAATGGCTGAACTACATGGTGCTACTAATATCGCTGATAACTCTGAACATAGGAATGTGCCAAGTTTCCTAGCAGCTGCAAGTGTTTTTTAATCTGGTAACACGTGGTAAGATAGTTTCGACTACTCATAAGCTCTTAAACATTTGGTGCTTTGCAGATTGGTTATTGATAAAGAAACAGGGAAGCCAAAGGGTTATGGGTTTTGTGAGTACAAGGATGAGGAGACTGCTCTAAGTGCACGCCGGAACCTTCAAGGTTATGAAATTAATGGCCGTCAGTTACGTGTTGATTTTGCTGAAAATGGGAGGAATGCTGACAGAAACAGAGAAAAGGTCGAAGATCCTCAGTTTCTTACTGTAGAAGAAACACATTTCTCAACTTCCAATTCCTATGTTAAGATGAGAGCTTGTATTGCTTTGGTTCCCATGAATGATAATAGTAGTGTTTTCTCCAACCACCATGTGTCGTATGTTTCACTTTTGTTTGCAGCATGTGTATGTATGTACAGCTGCCTGGCTGTACATACACACACCTGCTATATCTGCCAATTTATCTCGTGAAATTATCATTCTGGTATGGCGCATTATCTTTGGCATCTCCATTTATAAAAAAGAATATCTCTGTTGTCACATCTCCTTTTATTTATGGAATCCGTCTGCCAAAGGCTGTTTGTTGCCTAGCAAAACCATATATCATCATTGGAAGAGCTTCGCCAGAAGTGTTCTGAATAAATAGCAAAAGAAGAATAGTAGTCACTAGGAAAGATGCATCTGTAGTTTCACCTTATGCGATATACTTGAGCAAAAAGATGAAACTGCTAGTAGAATTGAGTGCTGAAACAGTACCCAATTGAATTTTTAGAACCATTTGATATGCAGGGAATTTCACAAAGAAATAATTCAATTTCCGCATGAACCAGGAAATTCCAAATGAGACCTTTATGTATGTGCAGAAGGGTTTACAGTTTCTTTTGGTTTTCTACTGCACTGGCACAAAAATATTCTTAATCTTCTGAGATGCTATCAACACCAGCCTTTGAATCCATCCCATACCAGTGACTAATGCTGATATAAGTGGACCAATCTTCTGTTGCCAAATGTCAATGAGCACACTAAGAAAATGTGCATCACAAGTTCGCAGCTGGATACAGTTGACTGATGTGTGACTTGAAAAATAGCGCAATTTATACATTGTTGTACATGTCAGTGTGGTTTTTTGTTCTAATTATCTGGAGATTATAATGCAGTGGTATTGTATGATATCACTATATGCAGAAAACTTTCAATATACTACTATAAACATTGTGTATTAGATATTAGCTAGCTTCAATACGGTAATGTAGTTAGTGCATGCTTTCAACAATGAATATTATTGATTTATAGGATTCTTGAGATCGATTTGGTTTTGCTAGAGATTCTATTGACTTATGCTGGATATGTTTGTGTATTTTCAGGGTCGTGGAGGACCTGGAATGGCATCCAGTGTTGGTTGGTATCATTTCCTTTATCACTCCCAAGTTTATGTGTATGCTTTACTATTTCTAATCTGCTGATTTTATGTTTGTGGATGCTAACACTGATCTATTGATGGAATCCTGCAGATACTCAGAAACAATTAGCTGGGACTCCGGTTGTAGGCGATACAGGTCTTCATCAGCCAGTTGGTCTTCCATCGGCTATTCATGCTGCATCTGTGATGGCTGGTATTCTTGGAGGATCTCAAACTGCAAATGTTCAAAATGGTTTACCTGTCCAGTATGGGCTTGGAAATGACCCTCTTACTCATTATTTGGCCAGAATGTCAAAGCACCAGTTGTATGAAATCATGTCTGAGTTGAAGGTTATCTTGAAATCTTAAGCACTATTGTTTCTTAAATATTAGAAATGGCCCAGTACCAATTGCAGTTTATTAATGTATTTTTTTTATGGCAGTCCCTAACTAGTCAAAATAAGGATGTTGCCAACAAACTGCTGCAAGGAATTCCACAGCTGTCAAAGGCCCTATTTCAGGTTAACTTTTGCTAATATTGATTTTGTACTTAATCAACTGCTTATTGTTTGTTATGAGCTGATTTTGTAATTGGTTCATTTTTATACATTAGAATACTTCTTAGTCTTGGTTATTTTCAGATTATTGACTGGATTATTTGCACATCGTTCAGTTCTAAATCTAGAATTGGAATAAGAGATTAAAAGCCTAATGGTTTCATTTTTCTCCCTTCTTATAATGCAGTCACAAATAATGCTTGGAATGGTGACGCCCCAGATGGTATAGTCTGATTTTCTTCTGAGCTTGTGGTACCCAATGTATTCTTTGATTCTGTAACATACAGATAACCGATGTTTTATTCAAATCACAGATGCAGATGGCAAAGAGCCAACAGCCCTCTAGCTCCTTGGCACAATCATCATCTCACATAAGCGAACCATTTCCACAGCCAGATGCTATGATATCAAGTGTTCCAAGACCTTCTGCAAGCTTGCCAAACCCAAATGTCCTGCAGGACCCTTCTGCACAGCTGCATAATTTTCCTCAGTATCCGCATTCATCTCAGCCTGCGGGCACAATATTTCCACATGGAAGTCAGTCTGGGGTGGGCATACATCCTCCAATTGTATCTCAACTCCTTGGTGCCTCTTCCAGTGTTCCTCCTCTACCCCTTGCTACCTCAGGAAGCCTGATATCGCAGGTTCAGCCCCCATTTATGCCACATCACCCTAGGCCACCAGCTATGCCAGCGGGTATGCAACAACTACCATTGACTCATCCACATGTTCCCCAGGTATTTTTCTTCACTTCTAAAGGAACCTTTGTAATTCAATCAACTTTGTGTTAATTTATGATAAACCAAATATTTGAGATAACCAATGCAGAGCCTCTGGGAACCTTTATGCTCAAACAGCACAAGTTACTTAGCTAGGCATTGTCGATGCCATAGATGAACTAAATTGTTATTCCAAGTTATGAGGCACAAGCTGTAGACAATATGCACTTTTCATTTAATTACCCGCACATGCCAACTCAGTACGGCCCAATTACAGGTACCTGCTATACCTGATATAGCACAGAAGGAAATGAGGTTTCCTGAGCAAGCAAATCGTTCGACGGAGTTTGCTCATCATCCAAAGTTGCGAAAATTGGAGGATGGAACATCCACACCTGGAATTGTAAACAACAATCCAGCTGTTTATCCTGCTCCATCCCAAGGAATGCTCCCTGGTGGACCATCAGGGAGCTATAATTCTGCTGCTGTTAGCTTCCAGCAGCCAGAGAACGAAGTGCCTCAGGTACTCCCTATAATTTAATCTCCCGGTGTTTATTGTTATTTTATCCTTTTAGAATTTGATTGTTCAGTATGAGGAACTGTTGACAATCTTAAGAGACATGACTTATGTGAAGTTCTAAACGGTTGTTTTCATTTTTGTGGAATTGCATTGAATTGCCCCGAATCTCTGAACACTATGATAATTTTCATGCGCTTACAAATAAAGTTGTTCTTGCTCTGTTCCAGCTCACACCCGATGTTGAGTCGGCTCTTCTGCAGCAAGTCCTACAACTGACACCTGAGCAGCTTAGTTCGTTGCCAGTAGAGCAACAACAGCAGGTGATTCAGCTTCAAAAGATGCTATCGGCTGGTAAATAACCCCCATCTGAATCAGCATACCAAATTGTTGATCAAGCTATACAGAGTTGTGGAAAAAATGGTACATTTGTGAAGAAGAAACTGGGCGCATATGTCAACGGTTGATTTTGCCAAGCCACACCACCACACTTGTAACTTTGAAAATTGTTGGCATTTCTGGGCCATTAGTTTTGCTCAGGAGCATTCTTTGGAGATAAAATGTGATGGGAAAAGGCCTCTTATTGTCCATCACTTATGTATCATTATAGAAAAAAAGAATAATCTGTATCCATTTTTCTCATGTAATCTGTAGTGCAAGAACAATTTTGTCTTTAGAACTCTCTTAAAAGTAGTCCAGAGCTGTTTAGTTTGCTGTGTAATCTCCCAGCATCTTACTTTCTCTGTAGCTGTTTCTTCTCTCCCGGACTACATGTTTTGAAGTTAGTTGCTCAGATATTCGATTATTGCTGCTGCTTGATTCAGTTACTACAGCCTGTGAGCGACTTTTGGAAGAATATTCTTCTGGATTAGTTTACTGTTAGCTAGTATTAAATTACCATTGGGCAGTAACTTTTGGAAGAAGCATTTGAATAAACGACTCGAGAAAAGTATAGAGTTTGTTTGGTTTGTAGCCAAATTATTTGGCTTAGTTGAACGGCAAATGCAACTTTGTTAGCAAAGCAAAGGAATGCCATTGCCAAACAAATTGGCAAGGCTATGAATGTCTATGAGTCAAACAAGCCCAAAATGTGTATTTGCCTCTGAAAATTGGCGTGTTCCCTTATACATCTCCTGTCCTCTCAATAACATGTGGATAAATAAGAGAAGGGTAAATAAGTGATAGTACTGATTTGTCGCTGGCAAATAAGAAACATCCCCAAAAAAGGGTATCATGAATAAGCAAAATCTCTGGCTCGTATGTTAACAAGCATACAAATTCTCATAAGCACATCATCATATATCAATCATCAGGCCTCAAAACCTACAGGTAACATGATATATCAAAATGTTTTTTGCATACCAGATTGCCTCTGATCTGCTGATGAAATTGCGTTACCTACGGGCTGCTAATGCAGAGAGCTTACCTCCTAAAAACCTACAGGGTTCTACTGATATATGGGTTACATTTCATGCCTTCTCAAAAAGAATAACTACATTTGCTTTGCTAACATACGGCGTTACAACTGCTGGACCTTCATCACAGATACAATGAGTTGGCGAACATGATACCCCGACGTAAGCTGTCGCTGGCCGCTCCGAACTTGTTCTCAAGGTTAACCTCACCAACAGCTTGAGCAGCAGCTTTCAACTGTCATAACATATTCAGAGTTAGTTGGCTCAGAGTTCAGATGGGAAAATGATGCGCTTTTTAGGTTGTTGATTTGTTAATGATCAATCACCGTTCATCCAAATTCCAATCAGTTGCATGCTTGTGAGGAAGAGAACTGCAGAACAGCACATTATCTATGATATGACTAGAAAAGAGTGTACGCAAATCGTGAGGTTGTATGTTGAGATTTTTTTTCTTAAAAATACACGATGGCAACACTGCTGTGTCTATTAATGATGCTTTCAAGGCATAAGCAAATGTCATCCTCACATCATCTGCAAGACTACAACTACTTGTACTGAACCAAATTCATGAAACTAGGGTATAAAAACTAAGTATGAACCTAGTTTAGCCTTTCTGGTGCCGTGAAATAATTTAGACATTCGAACTGGGACTTCAATGAGTAGGCCATAATGTCACACGACACTTTTGTGGGCATTCCATACCAGAATTGCACTTCTTATTTGCATGCAATTGAACATAAGATGCCATAATCGATGGGTAGATGTTCAGATTGTCTAAGTGAATTAGGTACTAACAGCAAAAAAGGAGGTAAAATAGGATGACACTATGGCAGCAGCAGCATAAATAGGATGCTATACCTGATTCAGAAATTCATCCAGTCTTCTAGCCAGCCGTATGATACTTCCTTCAAAAATGTCAGTCATTTCTATCACCTCTCCAAAAGTGGCCCCCTGTATGGAGAAAATTAAGCAATTAAACATAACTAAGGAAATTAGAGAATATCAATACAGTGATAGGGAGATTCAATAAGATAAAGAACCAATTGACAGAGGACGATCAACAAATTTCCAATAAAATAAACGGAGTACAAGATTTCCAACATCAGGGATTGTATAGTGCTGACAAACCTTTGACCAACAGTATATGACATCCATCAGGTAGGGCCTACAAGTTGATTCGACATATTCTTCAACATTTACCTCTAATTTGCATTCTTTTTGTACCTAACGCAAGAATGAGAAATTAGATCTCAATCAAGTACAGCAAACTAGTAAAATAGATGTAGTAGAACAAATATGCACCTCAGCTATTTTTCTCGCAGCCTCCTGTAGCTGCATCATTGGTGTAGAAAGCTCACTTCTCAGGCGTATTTGTTCACTAGACTTCTCACAAGGTATAAAGCAGCTAGCAAGGGAAGCAACTTGATGATGATCAAGATCGTTAAATGTACCTAAACAGAAAAGCATACTTAGTACAATACAATATATTACATAATACTCCCTCCATCCCATAATATAATATAAGGCGCCCACGCATTTCAAGATTTCACCTTCAAAACATTTTGACCAACATTTAGTACAATATGAATTGAATTTTACTTGCTAAAAATTATATCATTGGATTGACATTTGAATTTACTTTCATATGGTTACAATTTTGTTACTACAAACCTTATAATATATGAGAAATTATAAGACAAAAATTAGTTTTGGAGACCATGTTAAGTTTGACCATGCCTTATATTATGGGATAGAGGGAGTATAATCTAAGCACGCATGCAAAACTGAACAAAGATAATCATATTAGACTGGTACCATTAAACATAAGTTCAGTGATAAGCAGCTCATCCCCTGTGTCTATTAAACAGGCAGCACGTCCTTTCAGCTGGAGCACACCATCAGCATCAATGTGACCAAGCATCTTCAGAACACGGGACCGATTCCTAAGCTCATCTCTAAATTTTTGTAGCTGAATGGAGGAAAAAGTAAGAACACATTTAGCGTTTAAAAATAACCAAGCATGCAAAGATTCAACCTACCTGCGAATCCCGCATCTTTGACTTTAGCATTTGAATTTCATGATTTAGCTCAGCTTTTCTTTGATACCATGACAGTTGCTGCTCACTTTGATCAGACTAAGAGACAATATCAACACAAAATAATCAGTCAAAATCTCTAAGTGACAAGAAATTTCTTGACTGATAAGTGACTTGGAGTACCTTATGAAGTGGATGAGAACACAGTTTCTGCTCAAGATCATCAAGCTTATGAACCAACTCCACTAGTTCAGGTTCTTGAAGACCCATGTCCTATCAATTATGTCAGAATACCAGAGTGAATACGGAATAGAACAGGATTTCAAATTGTTTGATGATGCCAGAGCATATATTTTTATACATGAAAATAGACCAGCTCAATTGACAGCAAAATTGCAAGGGTAGGGCAAAACAAGCCATCAATAGTCTGCATCTATGCGGATATGTCAGCGTAGAATATGCAGCTGAAGATTCTACAGGTATTACAGAACTAGTGTATGCTCTGCCTATGCATCATGCATCGACAATGTATTGCAGAAAGAAATAGTAATAACAACCCTAGCGTATGTGTTGGAGGGAGTTAGCTGATCAAGGCATCCAAAAGGAGAAAAAAAATCACCGAGAGTGTTGTGCACATATACAGCTAAACCATCATGCAACATTTTTCAGATATTAAATTCTCTGTAATTTTCAGCTGCTAACCTAAAATGGTACTTCCGAAGGAAAGATAACAAAAATGTTAACCATACTTTGATTGGATCTAGCTTTGGAAGACCTTGGGGGTACCGCTTTCCCAGCTCTTGCACTGCAAAAAGTATATTTTGTCTTGCTTCAGGTGGTCGTAGATCAGGAGGAATGTTGATTCTAACACTGCTTAGACCAGATAATAAAGGTAGTGGTACAGGCACCTGCAAATACCTTACATTTATCAAATTCCAAAAATTTTGGGTCCTTCCTTAAACGATCATCACCTAATTATCACTACAGAACAAAGTTTTGTTTGTTGACCACAATAAAATATTTATCTGTGAAATTCAACTCACCACATGCATTTCTCCCTTCTCCCCTGGGCGTGGTGGCAATGGCTTTGAACGGGATCCATTCTCGTTCGAACTAGAAGAACAGTGAAGCAGGGTATCCACTATATAGTTATTACCACGAGATGCACTTAGTGCAGGAGGGAGAGTACCAGATTGTGGAGGTTTCTTAACCACATTTACAACCACACCCCATCCCCAGTCTGTTGAACCATCTCTCACTTTAACCTGCAATGAAGCAAATTGCTTAGTGGAAACAAAGGAACAGTACACAGAGGAAACGATGAAAATAGAAGTAGATATATTATCCCTTCTGTTTCTCATAAGACAAATACAATGGTGATAGCTGATGATATATCCAAATCATTCTTAAGGAACAGAACCTATGAGGTTATAAGTGTAACGTACCAGCCTTCCAGGAACCAAGTATAACAAAGCCCTCTCTGGTCTAATCATCTCCGACATGATTTTCTTTTCAAGTTCCGATATATCAAGCCCCAATTTATGATATTCTGCAAGATCAGTCTATACAGGGGCAAGTGTCAGTACTGTCAGTATCAATGGAAGAATAAAATGTGTAATGCACTAATATAAATAAAAATAACATACCTCTCCAGAAGAATCAAGTAAGGTAGCTTCATTTTCCAATGATGTAATCTTTTGCACCACTTCTGGCAATGCCTGAAAAGAAAGGGTAGCTAAAGTTTATAATCGCCAATATGCTAAGTATATATCAGGAAAGGCATCTGTAGGAGGTCCGGAAAGAAACCTTCTCATATTGAAACTGATGGAATGAATTCCTGATCACATGCTCAGCAGTAAACTGGCCCTCCACGCGACTCATTAAATTGAGAATTGTGTAATAGCTCAGCCGGAAAGTACTGACAAGAGGTGCTGGTTTACCTAACACCATGTCCTTTATAACACTCATCTCCATCTGCAGAGTTCGCCCATGATGCAATGGGCAAGTCGGTCAAAAGAGAGCACGCAACAAAAGCTTGAAGTGCATATGTGCGGTTGCATAGGTTCAATTTAATAAGAAACACAGCAACCTAAGTACATCTTTGATATGACAAGCAAATCCAAACAAGAGTATGGACCTATTTTGAAGTCCTGAAGGGAAGCTTCAACCACATAAAATGAATCTTAACACTCCTATATAGAACTTGTTAACTATATTTGGATGTGAATGTCCAATTATTTCAAAAAACATAACTTGGATCATGCTGGCTTTAGTTAATTAATGTTATTTGCATGCCGACAACAGTTGAAATAAACAAAAGAATTGAAGATGAAAAGTGATAAACAATCAGAAGGATTACTACAAATGACATAGCATTTACTTGAATTAGGAAACAAAGTAAAGCAGTATGTCAGTTATCAGTTTCACATATTTTATTGTGCTAACTGAACCAAGAAAGACAGCTGCAGAATCACGATGCATTGGGCCAAATATGTATTTTCTTGGTATCTTTTAAAAGTTTCATTTTATCAAGAATAGCATGATGAATTATTTGAGTCAACAAATATGCACTAAACCTCCTGGCATGAATATCTAGGAAGGTACTTAAATTGTATTTAAGAAAAATAAAGATAATTATAACAGGAAACTGTAGGCTCTTACTTTTTCATCTATCATTATAACACAAATTCCACGTATATCCTTGCCACGCCGACCAGCTCTTCCACTCATCTACAAATGCAGTGCACACAAAATTATTATATAGTAAGAAGGGATTGTAGTTCATTTCCTCAACTAATTTCAAGTATATGCATGAATTGCACTTTCGTATGTCGATTTACCTGTATATATTCTCCAGAAGCAATATAGCGGTTAGTATCACCATCCCATTTTTTGACAGACGTGAACACAACGGTTTTTGCAGGCATATTCAGTCCCATGGCAAACTGAGGGAGGAAACATAAAGATCATCTGTTGATTGAATGATGAAAGATGCAATGCAGGAAGTGCAAAACAAAAGTTCCCTAGCTGTCCCTAGTTTACAACTTACAAAAATCAAAGGATAGTAATTCCATACTATATTATGTGTGAAGAATAAAACAAGTTTAACACTAAGTGCAATGATCAGGTATAAGGGCATACTGTTTCAGTAGCAAAGAGAGCTTTTACAAGGCCTTCTTGGAAGAGCAACTCCACCAGCTCTTTAATTAATGGAAGCAATCCAGAATGGTGAACTGCAATACCTCGTTTAAGAAGAGGCAACATCAACTCTATAGCAGGCAAACCTCTATCTTCCTCACTTAAACATAGAATAGCACTGCTGAAAACCTGTTCGATGTTATCTTTTTCTTCATCAGTGTTGAAGTCAAGTTTTGACATTGACATGGCATGGTGTTCACATTCTCTTCTGCTAAAGCTGAAAATTATGACCGGTTGAAACTTCCGTTCCATAATCATCTGCAGATAGAATTCATCCAATTAAGTAAGGATCTAAAATATAAATGTAAATGTCAAATCAAACATCAATATCTAAAGAGTGAATATCTACAAGCGATATGCAAACATTGCCTAGTCTTTAACATAGTCAACTTTGCATTAGGATAAAGCAAAGCATATTTCAGGGGAAAAAACACTAAAATTATGGTAAATTCAGGAGCCCATTAAGGCCATAATACATCAGGCATTAACAAATGTCAGTGGATGCCTACCTTGACGATTCTGTATATGTCCGAATTTCCAGAGGCACTTCCGCCCTTTGCTATTCGACCACTGGCTTTAGGTCCACCACCCTTCCTTCCATCCACTTGATTACTTTGCTTTGTGAACGTGTCTTGCAGCTTCAAAAAATTATCCTCTCTGAATTGGCCATCCTCATCTACTACAAGGTAGAGACCGGAGCCGCCAATCGGGAACACATAGTGCTGTAACGGTGTCGGCCTGAAGTCAGTATACACCACATGACAAGGTTGCTTGTGCAGATTGCATATCCACTCGGCAAACTCGGTCGCGTTCGACATGGTGGCAGAGAGGAACACCATCTTGATGGCAGGTGGCAGGAAGATTATACTCTCCTCCCACACGACCCCGCGCTCGCGATCCTTCATGTAGTGGATCTCATCAAAGATAACCCAGGCAACCTCCTTGATCACCTCGGACCCCCTGTAGAGCATTGCCCTGAGGATCTCCGTGGTCATGACGAGGCAAGTCGCGTTCGGCTGCAGCGTGACATCGCCGGTCATCAATCCGACATCGGAGAACTCCTGGCTGAGCTCCCTGTACTTCTGGTTGCTCAGGGCCTTGAGAGGGGAGGTGTATATGACCCTCTGCTTGTCCCGGAACGACATGGCGATGGCGTACTCGGCAATGGCGGTCTTCCCCGCCGAGGTGTGGGCGGAGACGAGCACCGACTCGTTGCGCTCGAGGCAGGCGATGGAGACGCTCTGGAAGGGGTCGAGCTGGAACGGGTAGGCCTTGGCCATCTCGCCATGGAAGGCCGGGCTCGAGAGCGTCCCGTGCACCGCCTCGTCCTTGGCCGCGGCGTAGCCCTTGGGCACCGCCACCTCGTGGATGCACGACCGCGACAGGTTCCGCCGCTTCGCCGCCGCGTCAGGCGGCGGCGGAGGCGGCGGATGCTCCCCCGAGACGGCGGCGGCGTGCTCGCTCTCCGGCGCCTTCCGCTTGCTCGTGTTCTCCACCTCCTCCATCCCCCTCCCCTCCCTCCGCCGCAAGCTAGGGCTTCTTACCGAGGAGAGGAGGAGTCAATCCGAGCACGGATCCGCGTGGAGAGGGGAGGCGCTTCGCCTCGCTTCGGCGGCGGCGGCGGCGGCGGCGAGGAGGCGAGGTGGAGGCGGCAGCGGCGGCGGCGAGGAGAGGTCTCAAATGGCTCGCGCCTCCTGCCTCCGCTTCACCTAAACGGGCTCGATAATGGGCCTCGGCCCATGTAAATCCCAACTTGGACCACGTGGGCCGGACAAATGGGCCTTACGTTCGCGGGCTTTACCAGGCCGGGGAATCTTGGGCTCTCTTCGTCTCGGTTGCTTCGTCTCTCTCTCCCATGGTGGTTTGCCATTTCTGGTCTCGCGCACACCACCACCACCGCGCCACCTCCGCTCTCCTCCCCATCGGAGCTCGCACGATGCCGCGGGGGCGTTCCAGGTGATGCCGGTGGTGGTGGTGGTGGTGGTAGTGGCCGTGATGCGCGGCGACGGCGGCGGGTTGAAGGGCGCGAGGGGGAGGCAGGGGCGCGGCGCCGCGGTGGCGGGGCGGTGGCGGCGGGTGGCCGTGATCCTCCTCGCGCTGGCGTACGCGGCGTCGATGCTCGTGGTCTTCCTGGGCGGCGGCGCCGGCGGCGTGGCGGTGGCGGGCGCGGGCGCGGGCGCGCTGCGGCAGCGTGGGGCGCCGGCGCCGGCCGGGTCGGTGTACCGCAGCCACCTCGTGTTGGACCGCCTCCTGCCGGAGCTGCGCGCCTCCTCCGCCTCCCGCCCGCACCCGGTGAGTGACCTGGGACCCTGGATAGCTGCTGGAACACCCAGCGCGCGCGTTTCTTGGCTCGTTCCGTGGGGAACTGTAATGCCCGATCTGTTACCGGCATTCCATTTGGGGTGTAGTTCTTGGCTTCCTCTCAGTATTCGAGTGAAAATAGCACCTTCCTCTCAGTTCTTTGATTGGTTTGTGCAATTTATATCCTCTCAGTGGTTGCAATGCCTTTGATTTGGCTAAACTACCTACAAATGTTCATACTGTTTAGTGTTTACTCCTTTTTGTTGTTGTTCTTGGTCATGTAATGTGTTTTTAGTGTTTACCTGTTTTTCATTTAGATTTTTTTTGAAACAGTTTAGATCTAATTTTTAACTCTATATATTATATAACATAAATTGTCTTGTCATTGTGCAGCTAATGACACCACAAAACAAAAAATCTGGAAAACGATGGGCTCCTTGTATCACCAAGAAGTTGAGACGATCAGGTGTGAACTTGAAACGCTCTTTACAAGTTTATACACCAGAGTTGCCCAAGTCGAAAGCTGCTGGGGATTTTAACTTTTATGTCATCATAGATTCATAGACAGTGACAGAAAACTCGGTTATGCACTTTATACTGATAGTCCACATACCTGTCAAAAAAAATACTGATAGTCCTCATCACACTTTTCAGAGTTACCACCTTCAAATGGTTTTCTCATAATCGAAGCAAATGGTGGTCTGAATCAACAACGCATTTCTGTAAGTTGCTGGATTGTTTTTACCCTCAGCATAAATCGTCCAAGTAGATACATTTACTCATTTAGTCTTGTGTCTACAAGTTCAGAGACATCCTTATTTTTACTAAACAAATCTTCAGTATTACTGAAATTTATTCTGAATGCTCTATGATAAGAAACCTTATGATTTCTGTTACATATATCATAGCAGTCTGAAGCATTGATGGAATGAAGGATACCGAAATTCTTATATGATATCCCATATATACACATTTTGAACTTTTGTTCTGTAACATGTTATTTACCATTTTGTTACACGTCTTTCCCTATCTTCCACACAATTCATGAGGAGCTCATAACTATTGAAAATGAATTAATGTACCACTAATCTTGATCTTTAAAGTTCTGTAAATTTTTTTCTAGCATCTCAATAAATGTCTCGATACAGATCTGCGATGCTGTTGCTGTGGCAAGCTTACTCAATGCAACTCTTGTCACCCCAGCTTTTCATTTGAACAGCGTGTGGCGTGATTCTAGGTAACTATCTCCATTTACTGGTAGAATACCAGATGTGTCTGCATAAACTGAATTATGGCATATGTTCCCCTCGTTCTCCTTCAGAGAACTAGCAAAATTCACTTCTGTTACTAGTTTGTCATTTACAGCATAGTCATTCTTTTTTAGCTGTAGCTGTGAAGTGGGACAGTTTTAGTTTCCTTTTCTTTTCTTCGCAATATTAACATAAGTATATTTCTTGGCATGCCCTGTCCTTTTGTGCCGTCAATCATCCTCTGTTTGCCATTTATCTTGTACTTCCACTTCAGAAATGTATTCTAGCTTTCTGGTTTTGTTTATTGTTAATCATAGACCTCTGTTAGCTCCAATTTGTCCTTTCAATCTTTGCTAATTAAAGATGCTGTTTTTGCCAGTTCCATTTCTATCGAAGCTCACAAAATTTGATTGAGTAAAAAATGTTATTTTGCTGTAGCATTTGGTCTCCCCTCTTTTTTTTTTTTACCCTCATGCTATGTAATATACTGATATGTGTTTGAACTTTTAAGCAAAGTGCCATTTAAATTAATTTAATTGTGAGATCGATCCCAGTTTCAACTGATATAAATGCAGCATGGAAATAACAGTCCAAGAAAATGCGAAGAAAACTCACAGAAAAATATGCTAGTTTTCACGCATCAGTTTCTGGAGGATAATTCTTTCTTGTGTCGTTTTATTGCTTTCAGCAAATTTGGTGATATCTTTGATGAAGATCACTTTATTGGGTCGCTCAGAAAATACATAAGGGTTGTCAAAAAACTTCCTGAAGATGCATTTGTGAATTTTGATCACAATATCAGCATGATACCAAATATGAGGACCAAAGCCTTCTCATCTGAAAGCTACTACCTACAAAAGGTGCTTCCAAAATTGTTGGAGCTAGGGTCCGTGCTCCTCTTCTTCCTTCCCTTGATGCTGCATCATATCCTTGCAACTAAGGGTGTTCTGTAGTACCATAGCTTCACTCGCTTTCTGTGCCAGGGCTGTGCGTATTGCTCCTTTCTCAAACAGATTGGCCCATTCGGTTCCACCGAATATCCAGGCGTTGAGGTGTTTTGCTAACTATGAGGCGTTGAGATTTTCTGAACCCATAAGAATGCTTGGAACAAATATGGTTGACCGAATGATCAAGATGAGTTCTTTAACTGGTGGGAAGTACATTTCCGTGCACCTTCGCTTTGAAGAGGTTCTACCGCAATAGCTCTTTTAGCTACTAAGCATTTCTTTTTTCAGCTCACTAAGTTTTATGATGTTTATGCCCCTTTGTTCAGGATATGCTAGCCTTTTCGTGCTGCATATATGATGGTGGCTGGAGGGAGAGTATTGAAATGGAAAATGCTCGTGAAAGGAGTTGGAGAGGGAAGTTTCACCGACCTGGTCGAGTGATAAATCCTGAGGCAAATAGGAGGAATGGGAAGTGCCCTTTAACTCCTTTAGAGGTTGGGAAGTTTGCCCCTGCCGCAATGCTTTTGAGTATGTTCTTGTTGCTAGCCTGCTCTCTTTTAGTGTTTTCATGTCATGCTTCTCAGGCTATAATTTGTTGGGCGGTTCAGTTGCACCCAGGGGAGAGTGAGGGGTGTGCATTCATGCAAAATAACATCCCACAGGCAATTCCATCGCTGGCACAATATGCAGTGCTAGATGTCATCTATGTAACGTTTTTCAGATTAAAAATGCCAACACAAATTTCAGACGTATTTTAGTAAGCTGATTTGCCAAAAGCATTAAAGCATTAAAAATTTTATGCTCTGGAGTCTGGTTTATGGAATAGTATAAATTGCTAGTTCTTACTGGTTTAGTTTATGCAGGTTGGAATGATGCTGCAGGGCATGGGATTTGGCAATACTACCTCCCTCTATGTTGCCTCTGGTAAAATATACAACGCTGAAAAGTATATGACTCCTCTTCGCCAGTTGTTTCCACTTTTACAGACAAAAGATACTCTCGCTTCACCTGAGGAACTTGCACAGTTCAAGGTACTCCATTGTTTGGATTAGTCATTTGTGTATCTTATCATTTACTGTCCATCAAGCATCTGAAATCCTTGTTTAATTCGAGGATCAGACAACAATTGGATTAGAAACCATTTTTATCTCCATGCGACTTCCTTCAACTCAGACACCTACCTATGCTCTATCAGGGGCACTCATCTAGACTGGCAGCACTGGACTACACGGTCTGTCTGCAGAGCGAAGAGTTTGTGACGACTCAAGGAAGCAACTTTCCTCATTTTCTGATGGGGCACAGGCGTTATCTGTATGGAGGAAATGCGAAGACAATAAAACCAGATAAACGGAAATTGGTTGCACTCTTTGACAACCCAAATATCCGGTCAGTTTCAGGATACTCTTAGCATTTCCTTTCAAATACTATATGATTATTTATATAGCATGTAATCATTTCCCAGTTCATTTTGAGAACCAAGATTTTTTTTTTAGAGAAAAGGCCGAAAGGCCCAGCTTACTATCAAGCATAAGAGTGCAGATACAAGGGTAAACGCTGGGGAAGCCAGCTTGAGATGATGTGCTGAAAACTCAACTTCACTTCTATTAAGGTGCTGCTGGCACAGCGCTAACAAGCCAGGAAGGAACTCACAAAGAACCACACAGCAAAAATTAACGCACTAGTTTGGTCCTGACGCCCGAATACTGGCAAGCAATGAGTCCTTCAGACCATCCACTTCGACCTTCAGCTTCTCCGGCAGCAGCCCTCTCCACTGGATCAAAAACGAAACAGCTTTGTGAGGGAGATGACATATATTAGAAAGCAGCTTGTTATTGAAAACCCAGTCATTCCTCACAAGCCAAATCGCCCAAATCCCTGCAGAAATTACGTGTAAAAAGATTATTCCCTATCACCCCCCATAGTCATCAAGATATTCATAAACTCCCTCCTGGAAGAAGGGACGTGATCCCAATGAAACACATCTCTAAAACAACACCATAAAAACCTAGCTGGTGCACATTTAAACATTAGGTGATCCACATCCTCTTCAGCACCACAGAGCTTGCAGAGGGGATCTCCATTCCACTTCATCTTTTTAAGCTGATGAGCAGCTTGAATTCTCCCCTTAAGCATCAGCCAAACAAAGATCTTAATTTTCAGAGGCATGGGTGTCTTCCAAAGTTCTTGCATCTTTATGTCTCTAATCCCCCCAAAGGTCATTTCTCTATAAAGAGATTTCGTACTAAACTGTCCTGATTTTGTTAATTTCCATCTCATCCTGTCCCTATCCGTAGATAAGTGAACATTTGCAAGATCTGCAAGTAGTTGTTCCCATTCAACTAGCTCCTCGGCACCAAGCGATCTTCTAAGATCAATCCTCCAGCCATCAGAGGACCATAATTGACTCACTGTTTTCCCAGGATCAGCCACTATACTGTAAATGTAGGGAAATTTGATTTTCAGAGGTGTATCTCCTAGCCAGACATCGTCCCAGAATCTAGTAGCACTGCCATCCCCTAAATCATAACAGCTGCCCAATTTCAACCAGTGTTTTACCTCATGCAAACCTCTCCAGAATTGAGAGCATCCCTCAGTACTTGACTGGAAAAAGCCTCCCCCATTCATCATGTATTTCCTTCTTAGCAAATCACAGCAGGGGTCCTTCTGCCCTGATTCAAGCTTAAAAATCCATTTGCACAAAAGTACCTTATTCATCACTCTAGTATCAAGAAAACCTAAGCCCCCAAAATCTTTGGGTCTGCAAAGAGCCTCCCATTTAACCATGTGATACTTCCTTTTTCTTTCTATTCCTTCCCAAAAAAATCTTGATCTAATAGAATCCATTCTCTGATGGGTTTGTTCAGGGAGCATATAAAAGCCCATCATATACATAGGTGAGGAATTGACAAGTATTGCTTTTCCCCCATAAGAAAGTAAACCACATTTCCAGGTTGAAAGTCTTTTCTCAATCTTATCAGGGGGAATAGCCAGATCTGCTGCTGTCAGCCTCCCCTCACTGATAGGAATGCCAAGGTAAGTCATGGGGAACTTACCGCATTTGCAGTTAAAAAGGTCAGCCACTCTCTTAGTCTCTTCTGGGTTCTCCCCAAGGACTATAACCTCACTCTTCTGGTAATTGATCTTCAATCCTGACATGGCCTCAAAACAGTGTAGGATAAATTTAGTAGTTATCACATTCTGATCATTATTGGTCATGAACAGGATAGTGTCGTCAGCGTATTGCAAATGCGTCAGCCCCCCCTGCACTAAGTGAGGTACCAAGCCTTCCAGATGACCAGCCTCTTTGGCCTTTAAAAGTATCTCAGAAAGGGCATCAGCCACAATGTTAAAAAGCAAAGGTGATAGAGGGTCCCCCTGTCTGACTCCCCTGAAAGTTTTAAAGTATTGATCAATCTCCCCATTAATATTAATTGCTACTCTTCCATCAATAGTTGCTGACTTAATCCACTTGATCCATTTATCATCAAAACCTTTTTTCTGAAGCACATCAAACAAGAAACTCCACTGAACTTTATCATATGCCTTTTCAAAATCCAATTTTAGAATTATGCCAGATTGGTGAGTTTTTTTCACTTCGTGCAAAACCTCATGCAAAATAATCACCCCATCCAAAATAAATCTACCAGGAATAAAGGCAGTCTGACTCTCCCCAATTACATTATGTGCTACTAGCGTCAGCCTATTGGTCAGAATTTTGGTGATTAGCTTAAAGCAGACATTCAAAAGGCAAATCGGTCTGAAAGCTTTGATAGTGTTTGCATCTTTAACTTTGGGAATTAAACTAATCACACCATAGTTTATTCTCCACAAGTCCAGTCTCCCCTCAAATAGTAGATCCAACATTTCTTTAAATTGATCCCTCAACTGGGGCCAAAAGGCTCTGTAAAAGCTCACTGTGAATCCATCAGGACCAGGGGCTGTATCAGTCTTCATTTGTTTTAAAGCTTGATCCATTTCCTCAAAGGTAAAGGGTCTGATTAGATGCTCTCTCTCTTCTTGACTTAGCCTCCCTCTATGCATCCACATATCTTGACTTAGGAAAATTTTTGGGGCAACTTCAGCACCAAACAGATTTTTATAGAACTGATATATGTGAGCTTTCAGTTCTGCAGGTTCCTCAATTATTCTACCATCTTCTTCTAAAGCTCTTATCAAACTTTTTCTCTTTCTCCCATTAGCTACCCCATGGAAGAAAGATGTGTTAGCATCACCCTCTAGAAGCCATTTTTCTCCACTCCTTCCTTGCCAATATTTTTCCTCATCAAAATAAATCTGATTCAATTTGCCTTCAAGAAAGTATCTTTTCTGCCATTCATCTGAAGAAAGATTTCTGTGATCAGCCTCATCTTCGATATTTTTTATCTCTCTCATGAGGTTTTCCTTCACCTTTTTCATCTCACTCTCCTTATTTTGTTTCCTCCCTCTCATTTTCCTTCTAAGGATTGTGCCCTGGCAAAGTGATCTAAAATGTTTTGTTTCCTTCTCTCAGGCCAATTTCCAGTCAACCAAGATTTGAAACCTTCCTGGGAGAGCCAAGCTTTCTCAAACCTGAAAACCTTTTTGAGAACCAAGATGATAATTGACATCCGGCCAATTTCCAATGGTGACCATCCATGTCAACTATAACTCTTTGTCACACCTAACTATTCATGACAACTATAACCCTGTCACAACTAACTATTTTCAAGATGCTAGGCATTGAATTGATGCTATTTGATCTGTAGTTCTACACACACTAAAATACATTTAAAATTGTTCTCGGTTTTCCTTTTTAGATTTCTAATTAGATATATTTTGCCTCATGAGACGCCCTATTTTCAGCGATCCTCAAAGTCAACACCTGATCCCCACTTTACACCAGTGAACACCTGATCAAGAACTAAACCCAACTATATTTTCTTGGCTGCAGATGGGATCGGTTCAAGCGCCAAATGCAGGACATACATCGGCACAGCGAGTCGAAGGGTTTCGGAGTCAGGAAACCAAATGGTTCCATTTCCATATACACCCTCCCAATGCCTGACTGCATGTGTCAGCGAGCTGAACCATGATATAATACTCCAGCTAGCTAGAGCACTTAGGCAGCAAACGGCCTGGCATTTTTGACACCTCTAAGTAGCCAGACCATATTGTCAGTTTGAACAGAAATTAGGCATCGAAAATTTGCCTCTTCTTTTTTTCGTTTTTGTTAGCAAGAAGAGATTACAGATTGAGATGCAAATTAAGTGGTTGTTAATATGAATGCATTCCACCATATTTACAACTTTTGCCAGGGTAAAAACGTGCCAATTGTATATATAAAAAGGCACATCTATATATACAGATTTTTCTTTTGTGACTGTAGGGTACAATCAGGTGGTCAAGTATAATTGCAGTTCTTACCATGAAACAAGTCTTTTTTTTCCTCATGGATGTTTGAAGTCGTTCCTATTTCCAGCTGCTAAAGAAAATTTCGTATTAGGAAATTACTTCACTATGATGGCACTTTATTTCCCCTGAATTAGTAGATTCTGTGTTGAGGCTGAGTGATTCCATAATAATTTCGTAGGAAATTAATTTCCCGCCTAATCTATGGCTGTAAAAATGTAAACTTCAATTTGGAAATCACTTGAATAATATATGTAAAGCACACAATTTCTGCATGATTTTAATAGGGTGAATAGCTAATTTAGTCCCTCAAGTTCCACCGAAGGCACAATTTGGTCCTTCACGTTTCATTTTGTCCACATAGCTCCTCCAAATATTTATTTTGGCTTGAAATCATCCTTGGGCCCACTTAATATGCCATATGGCTATTTCTAGTCAATATTTCTATTAAAAAATGTCCTTTTTGCCCTTAATTTGTATACAACTATATACTAGAAAAGAGAAAGCCAACATGAATAAACAACATTACAGATGTACTTCCTATTATTTTAACAGGTGCACATGAAACTTAAGCAATTGCTATCGTATACGTTTGTATTATCTATGTATTATCTATAAAAAAAATTCAAGCATGCAATTTTTCTCTTATATATGTGAATGATGAGGGGTATAAGTGTCATTTATGAAGAGAATTGTTGGTTCAAGAATAAGTTTGAACTAAAATGAAAAATTGAAGGGCTAATATGGATAGATTGAAACATCAGGGACTAAACTGAGCCTCAGATAAAACTTAGGGGACCATTTTAACTATTCACCCATTTTAATAGGAAAAAGTCCTCATGCAAATGTATACGGAATATCTATGCAATTGAGAATCCCATTTATTTATCTTCATCATTCATATATATCAATATAGACGTGTGTTCGTAATATATGATGATCGAGGCGGCTGACATGGAAGCCGCCGCCGCCGCCGCTGACGGCGAGGTGAAGCCGGCGAAGTCGGCGGCGCTGCCCAGCACCGCCATGGCCGCCATGGCCGTCCTGTCTCTGCTGTTCGTCGCGGCCGTGGCGTACGTGCTGCCCCGCGGCGGCGACGAAGAGAACTTCGCCGCCGCCGTGAGGAGGCTGTCGCCGCTGGTCTGCGCCTACCTCTTCCTCGTGACGGCCGCCGTGTGGAGGGACACGGCGACGCCCTCCCTCCTCGTCCGCGTCTCCGCCTTCTTCCTCCTCGCCGACGCCGACTCCCTGGTCGGGCCACTCGCCGGCGAGGCGCCCATGCTGGCCGCCACGGCCTACTCCGCCGCGGCGGTCGGCTACGCCGTCGCCGAGCGCCGGCACCACCAGGCATCCGAGGCATCGGACGCCGCCGCCGCCGCCGAGGCGACGCCGGCGTACGAGTCGCAGGCGGAGCGGCGCCACCGCGAGACCTGCAAGAAGTTCATCGCCCTCATCGTCTTCTTCGTGGAGGCCATGCCCGCCGCGATCACCTACCTCGCGTGGTCGCTACAGCCGAACGAGAACGACGCGCCGCCGCCGCAGCCGACGGGGCACGACGACGACGACGAGCCGTCGCCGGCGTCGATCGTGGTGTGCGTGGCGGCGACGTTGTCGGGGCCCTACCTCGGCGTCTGGGCCCTGTTCGTGAGGAGCATTCTGCTGCGCGGGTGTTTCGTCGCCGGAGACGCCATGTGCGTCGCCGCCGTGTGCGTGGGCATGTCGTGGCTGTTCGTCCCGGTCGTCGCCGGCATCGTTCTCCGGCAAATCAACGCCGTTCTCTACGGCCACTGGCTCTACGGCATCGCCATGGCCGGCTTCCTCGGCTACAGCCTTGCCGTCAACGAGCGCTACCAGGAGCTCATGCTCATCATACGGTAAGTACTGAAGGTGGATTCTAAACACTCGAGTGGATGTTCACTCATTAAGTGCATATCAACTAAATGATCATAAAATTTTTTTAAAAAAAATTACAAGAAAGATTGATATATAGTATATCACTACACAAACATGCAACTTAAAATTTAACTTTTATAAGTTGTAACAAAAATAACAAATTTAACTGCGAATATACGTATACTAATTAGAGTTTGATTTGTTATTTTCGTTACAACTTGTAGAAGACGATTTTGAACTTGCATGTTTGTGGGGGTGATATATTACATGTAAATCTATCTTGTCAAATTTTTTGAATTTTTTCATACCTATTTAGTTGACATGCACCAAATGGGTGGATGTCCACCTAGGTGATTAAAAGTGTTTCCTGTACTCCGTATTATTTTAATATATGACGTCGTTGACTTTTTACCGACGTTTTTCCATTTGTTTTATTTTAAATTTTTTATATAAATATAAAAATATTTATATCATATTTAAATAATATTTAATAATAAATCAAGTCATAATAAAATAGATGATACTACGTATATTAAAATTACATAATGCGTATCTTACATAAAAATTTTTGAAAAAAAAAATGGTCAAGCGTATCTTAAAAAATCAATAGTGTCATACAATAAAATATGGATAGAGTAACTAAGGACTACTCCCTTTATTACATAATATAAATCGCTTTAATTCCTTTCGATCACAACTTTATAACGTCCGTTAGTGGGTGATATAGCACCACTTAAAGTCTTTTAAGGTAGTATATACAGATGCACCATTATATACAATTGTATATTCTTCTGAAATATCTTTAATTAATAATCAATCAATGTATATACTACAAAGTGTTGTTTGGCGCCGTTTCATATATATATATATATTTTTTTGCTGTGATTATACAGGAGCCAGCCTCGGACGGCAGCCGACGCTTCCGGCTTGCTGGTGGGGCGGGAAACTTGTGCTGCTTGCCCTGCTCAGATCGACGAAAATGCCAGCGTCAGACTCTCCCATCAAGAAGGTTGCTTCAGCGTTTCAGGCCATTGCCCATCTTGTCACTGTCCTAGACAAGTGTCGGAGCCATGAATACGGAATGAATACGGAGTATATTATTGACCCCAATTATTTAATTAACTGTCAAGTGAAGAGCTGATCCGTAGCGGTTCCGTTTTACTCCGTTCGCCCCCGTAAAAAACCAATCTAGTAGATGTGACATTCTAGTGTAATGAATCTGGACAAATACTATTCCTTTTTTTTTTTTGGACGGAGGGAGTGCTAGTTTGGAACATTTCTACGATTTTCTTATAAAGAATATGAGGCACATAGGTAATTTATTGATTTGTGTGCGTATATTATGCAAACTACGTCACAAATGATTAAACGTTATGTCCAAAGTCAATTAATACTCCCTCCGATTCTAAATATTTAATACCGTTGACTTTTTAGCACATGTTTGACCGTTCATTTTATTTAAAAACTTTTGTGAAATATGTAAAACTATATGTATACATATGAGTATATTTAACAATGAATCAAATGCTAGGAAAAGAATCAATAATTACTTAAATTTTTTAAATAAGAGAAACGGTCAAACATATTTTAAAAAGTCACCGGCATCAAATATTTAGAAATGGAGGGAGTAGTGTTTTGCTAGAGAACTTAATTAGCCGGTAATGGTTCCTGCCTGAGACGTATCCTAATTAAAATGTTTAGAATTTAAATTGAGTTTTTAGAATTCAATCGATAGTTTTAGATGTTAGAAAGCAAAAACCATAAAAAAATGCAATGTGCTAAATCAAACGGTTTCATTAAAAAAAAAGAACTCTGATTACGTGGAATCATTATGGACGACACGTGTGCCACTGTCACAAATGTTGATCATGTTAAAGAACGCTGACATAGGCGCATGCTTATCTTAGTTTGCTGGGCACATGTACGCAATAAATATATAGGAACCCCAAGAAATCAATGCGCATAACCATATAACTATGGTTGCACTTTTTTTTTTCAAAAAACTTAATTTAATTTGGAAATCAACCACATGAATATATATATTTTGAGCAGAAAATTTCTGCACGATTTTCTATAATTAAGTAGCAGACCGCTTGATACAAATGTACACTGAGTATAATTAGTACAATCCGATTTGATCTACGCTAACTACCCGTGGGTCCCCTGCAGGGGCGGGGACGGGTGATATTTCCCGCCCGACCACCTCTGTGGGGCCGGGGAAGAAGTCGGAGAGCGGGGACGGGGGCAGGGGCGTTCCAACCTAACCCGTCCCGACCCGCCCCGTTGCCAACCCTAATTCTTTGCCTCATGAGGCACCCAGTTTTCAGCTATCCTCAAACTCAATGCATGATCTGCTATATATTCTGATCTTGTGTTTTCACCGGTGATCACCAGCGAATACAATACATGATCTGATATTCTGATCTTGTTTTCAGTTTTCACATCCACTATTGACTATTCCATCAGTTGCTTTCATAAACTAAACCCCAACAATTATTTCCTTGATGCAAATATATACGGAATTAATATATATGCAAATCCGACTGTATTTACACAAGAAAACAATTTATCGATATATTCTAGAGTAAATTTCACAAAACTACACGTTTTATGGTCCAAGTTATAGAAAACCACAAACACTAACACTTGGTACTTAAGTACATATATTTTGGTAGTATATTTTCACAAAACCACACTATTAATGAATGGATTCACCCGCGAGATGACGTGGTTGTTTCACCTAGGACGAGGACATGGCATCCTATTACCAGCCATCGCACGAAATTAATATAATGCCACGTCCTCATCCTAGATAGAACAACCACGTCATCTCACGGATGAATCCATTTATCGATAGTGTAGTTTTGTGAAACTAAACTACCAATATGTACTTAAGTGCTAAGTGTCAAAATATGTGTGGTTTTTTACAACTTGAACCATAAAACATGTAGTTTTGTGAAATTTACTCTATATTCTATAAGAATTTGATTTATCTTCGTATATCAGCGTTTCCTATCTGTCGTGTTCGCCGTCGAATAAAACCCTAATGAACGAGGAGGCCGACGTAGAAGCCGCCACCGGCGGCGCGGCCTCCGGCGAGGTAAAGGCGGCAAGTTCGGCGGCGCTGTCCATCTCCGCCATGGT